GAAAACCCGCACGGCCCAATGTATCAGTTCAGTCTTCTGTCCAAACTACAGAGCCCCGAGTTTTGGCTAGTGCTTAGAATAAAAGCCGAGTTACGTATGTAAAGTCTCATAAATGACACGTGGAGTTTGACCCAGAGACTGACGCCACATGTGTAACTGCAGAAAAAGAACCCTAAACTCCATCTCCTCAGGGTTAAAACCTCCGCTGCATTTCACACAGAAGGAAATCGTTGCATCATATCCATTGCTGTAAATATTTGAGTGTTCCGCAGCAGTGGCTTTTTTGAAATCACTGCTTTTCTTCTTTTTTTCTGAAAGGCACCAGGTGGATTTAGCTGAAACACCCATCAACAAAAACTAAACGATTTATTGGAGTTCAAGCAAAAGTACCCAGAATATCCAAACCCATATTCAATAAAACAAAGATTTTTTTATATATACCTCAATAACGGGGTGACAGTAGCTCAGTTGGTAGAGCATTGGCCTTTTGAGCCTGAAGGTCGTGGGTTCGAGCTCACCATGGGACCTATTCCAACTGCTCCCACTAATGTCTACTGTCGTTGTGTCCTTGGGCAAGACACTTAGCCCCACACTGCCTGAAGCCCCTGCGGAAAGCCCAAGACTATCACGTCAATGACAGAGAAGCCATCTTCCTGTTGACCCCCCCCCCCCCCCCCCAACTTTGAAATGGACTTTGAAAGGGGTTGTTAATAATTAGTGAATGAACCTCAATAATGCGAAAACACTAACGTAAATAACCACAGATAATAGTAAAAATACATCGGTTTGATATAGCGCTTTTCTGGACACTCAAAGACGCTTCACATGTCGATATTCTTTCACTCCATACACGGTGGTGATAAACTACCACTGTAGCCATTGCTGCCCTGGGGCGCACTGACAGAAGTGAGGCAACCAGTCTGTGCCATCGGCCCCTCCCACCACCACCAACCATTCATGTAAAAGATGAGCTCTCCTTCTCATTAAAATAAAACTGTTTCCATCAATATCCATTAAGCTACTATGAAATAACCATGAAAATATACTAATTGCGCATGAGCCTCTATCTCATGTTTTTATCAGTCTTGAAAAACAAATGTAAAATGATATAAATAATACATTTCCCCCGGGAAACTCTAGTCACTTGAGCTTTGTTTTGGTCAAATGCCAAATCGATTCAATTTATTTTTGGATATCCCCAAATCACTACAGTAGTTATCTCGGAGGACTTTGCAAATTGTCGATTTGCCAACACCAGAGAAACAAACGGTTAAAAACACAGGAAATGCGACAATAAAAAACACACAGCCATTGATCCATAAGAGGCGGACGACCAATGTCCAGAACTGACCATACATGTGCAATCCCATACTCACTGTGCTCTAGCATCTACCAACTACATTTCTGTCTTATCTGTGACATCATAGGTAGAGCGACGGACATGTTTTTTGCCTTTTTAAACACTTGTATTGTCTCCACACGAGTCCTGGTCTCACATGTTCATTTTGGGAGTGCTTACATACTCGTGTCAGCACTCTACCACACTCTTGTCCCTTCCGCACAGGCCTCAGTTCATTTAGTTGTTTTCAGACTCTCCGCACGTCACAAAGCGGCTAATTGGAGCTAATCTTACCTCTGCTGTGATGAGATGATGTATGGAGCTCGTTAGTGCGACGCCTCCGCCGCAAACGAACCGAGTGAACTGTGGAGGCTCCGACATACGCTGGAAACCAAAGCACCAGCTCCTCTCACCTGCTCTCTGCAGCTCACGGCCTTATAGAGGGCCGTCTTCCCCTGACCCTAACCCAGGGACACACCTAAAAACAAGCATATGTGAAGGAAAGCAGGATTTTCACGTTAAAATCTAAAAAATATGGATCTCATTTTTAAGAGGATGAAAAAAAAGTGGCTGGGTCTGGGGTCTTGTACAGCCATAGATGACAATATTGATGTTGCAAAGACACAATCAACAAATTGCTGTGTGCATATGATATTATACCATGGAGGACTCGTAGACTGTCCAGTCAGCAGCTGTAAGTAAGTAATCTTTATTTATACAGCGCTTTTCATGGACCAGAGTCACAAAGCGCTTTACAATTGTGGGCATTTGTCTCTCACTCCACACAGAGATGGAGCAGTCGCCAGTACAGGAGGCGCAAGTCAGAGCTTTTGTACATGTTTTGCGTGTTAGGGGAAACTGGAGCACCCGGAGGAAACCTACGTAGACATGGGGGGAACATGCAAACTCCACTCAGAAGGCCCTGTTCCAACAAAGTGTCACAAGAAATCTAAAATATCTTTCTGTAACATGCATGATGCCATTTATCACGTCATATGTGTGTTGTAATGGGCCCTGTATACATTCAATTCAATTCAAATAACTTTATTTATCCGCAAGGAACATCATTTGCAGACGGAGCACCAGTGGGGATACATAAAAATCACTCAAACACAAGATATGAAATACAATGAAAATGAAGAAATTCATAAAACGGGTCATAATTTGCTAAATGAAAAACAGACCATCTCCCAATCTTTACAATCAGCTGTTTAAAAAGAGACCGAGTGAACCAAACCAAGCATGTTTTCAAAAGTTATATTACTTATGTGTGAGACTAACTATCAGAACATGAACTGAAGAGTACATATTGAGGATGTGTGAATCTGTAAAAAGATTAGAAAATGTATCAGAATGTATATAAATTACCCTTTCCCCATGTGCTTTTTTCACCCATTTATAAGCTAATGCAGTTAACTTTTACAAAGCACTTAACTCCTGTTGGAATTTGTGTATGACTAAAGTTTTGTAAATAAAGAGAATTGAATTTAATCACTCATGCCATTATCGCCATGACAATATATTTTCAGTATTTTGTACAGCTTTTAACACCCGTACTATGTTATGGGGCCTACTTCTCATATTCCATATTACCATTGTGATAAGATAAGAGAACCTGTATTTGTCCCACAGTGGGGAAATTTCAATGTTGCAGCGCACAGACTCTCTTACTACTGCTGTGCTTAATGCTCTCACAGTAGTAAGAGCACACAGGGAGCACACAAAATATTCAGTATAAGTAGTTTCTTAGCTAGCTGTAAATGTAAATATCCATATACTGTATCTTTTATATCAGTTAGTTATCAGTTATACACATATAGGGCAGGATAATAAGTATATAAAGTGACATTCAGTGAACATTCTGAAATTTCAGTAATGCACATGATTACAGTATTTACTAGTGACGGATGAATGAAAGTTCAGGCTCAGCAGTTCTCATTGTACAGTCTGACAGCAGCAGGTAGGAGAGACCGTATCATTATTACCCCATATCTTTTGTTCCCTTATCTTGTATATTGCTTCTGTTGAGGTTTTCTCTGGAAGGAAATCTCACTTTTCGCTGACACTGGTTTAGTTTTAGTTTTTGCTGCAGAGAGAGTCCTGGTTTTGGGTTTTTGGTCTTGTGTTTTGGGTTTTGTCTCCGGACATGACTCTGCAGTTTGAGGGCGCGGTCTGTTTGCTTTAGATTAAGCTCAGAGGTGGTCGAGGCTGCCACTTTGAAAACCTGCTTGAAGGACGCATTCTGCAAAACGGGAAGGAAGGGAATGTATTTGTTTAGCACAACTCAGTGTGTTAGAGAATTTATAATAAAAGTACTTGCCTTAAGGTTTCATCTTGAGAATACATTCTATTCATGAGGAGCACAAACGGAGAAAGCTGCTTTTGCTCCTACATGCACAGGTTCAGAAGGTACAAGGAAATTAGAAATGCATGAAGGAGACTGTAGAGGGCGCTGTAAACAAGGGGTTTTGTAGTGAATGCACCTGAACTGGAGCCAATGTGAGGTCCTTAACACAGGTGTAATGTGAGGTCCTTAACACAGGTGTAATGTGAGGTCATTAACACAGGCGTAATGTGAGGTCCTTAACACAGATGTAATGTGAACCCTTTAATACAGGTGTAATGTGAGGTCCTTAACACAGGCGTAATGTGAGGTCCTTAACACAGGCGTAATGTGAGGTCCTTAACACAGGCGTATTGTGAGGTCCTTAACACAGGTGTATTGTGAGGTCCTTAACACAGGTGTATTTTGAGGTCCTTAACACAGGTGTAATGTGAGGTCCTTAACACAGATGTAATGTGAAGCCTTTAACACAGGTGTAATGTGAGGCCCTTAACACAGATGTAATGTGAACCCTTTAACACAGGTGTAATGTGAGGTCCTTAACACAGGCGTAATGTGAGGTCCTTAACACAGGCGTAATGTGAGGTCCTTAACACAGGTGTAATGTGAAGTCCTTAACACAGGTGTAATGTGAGATCTTTAACACAGGTGTAATGTGAGGTACTTAACACAGGTGTAATGTGAGGTCCTTAACACAGATGTAATGTGAAGCCTTTAACACTTTAATGTACAAATATTTTACATTAAAACAGCCTTTAATGTAAAATATTTCACTCTCCGTTCACTAACTAAATTACATTCAGACCTATTTTACTATGATTTTAGTGGTAGGGCAACCCGGGGTACTTGTAGGTAACCCATACAGACACAGGGAGAACATGCAAACTCCACCTGAGAGGTGGAATTGAACCCAGGACCTTCTCGCTGTAAGGCACCAGCTCTAGCCTGTGTGTAATGTGACCCGTGACCCGTGTGGCCAGACGGGGCTGATGTGTCTGGACACTCTCCCACTAAAGCTAATGTTCTCGCGTCATGTGCTCCGCTCTCAGACTTGTATTGATTTGTGTTTTGGCGTCTCGACAGCTTCCTGTTTGACTTGACAACATTTTTGCAGCATCTGAAAACACATCCTAAAAGTGAACGGTGGAAATATCAAAAACATCTGATTTTCTTCTGAAACTGTTTGATCGTGTTCAACATTTTAGACTTTTCAGAGATGATCCAGTGTCTTTTCTGAACAAACAACTCTTTTCTCCAGGTATAATTACGATCAAATGTAATGTACTAATCCTGAGCTGTCCTTCTCCCTGTGTCCAGCTGGTGGCGGTGTTCTCGGAGCAGGAGCCTCATCACGGTGGAGATGGGACCAGCGCCAGTTCCACCGGGACTCAGAGTCCGGAGCTGTTCAGTGACCTGAGCTCCTCGGCTTTCAGGCCGTTTCAGAGCAGCGAGATCGAAGTGACGCCCAGCGCGCTGCGCACAAGTGAGTTACACGACTGTCCGCGCTGTACACATGTAAACAAAAAACGCTCTAATTTTATATCCAACTTGATGCCGTGGAGCTGAAGAGCTTTTGTTTAAATCAGAAAAAAGCTCTCTGTCCTAGGGGCCATAGCATGGATGTATTATAGTCTCTGGTAAAGCTGCTGCTTAAGCCTTCAGCGTTCTCAAAGGTCGAGCTCAGTGGGGTTTTAGGTGTTCCTCATGGCCTCATGGTGATCTATGGTCCTGGGACATGGATCTGAACGAACTGACATCTTTGTTTGCAAGGGCTTGGATCATAGTCTAAAGATTCTGTCTGAGAATTTGGACCAAAGAAAAGTTTTGGTTTGGGCTGTGCGTCTTTTAGAGCTGACGATCGCATTATACAAAACATATCTGTATAAAGGGAACTTTCATATGATGTATTTCTAATGCTCGGCCATCAACAAAAAACACTCTAGTGATGCATTCATTCCATTTATTGAAGATTATTTGTCATTTAAGTTAAAATTTCCAATCAAGAATATATTTATTACATTTTATTTTGATACTGAATGTTTTTTTTTAAGGCGTAGAATCATAAACCGGATCAGACTGGAGCTATTTCTGTTTTATTTGTAAAACTGAACCTTCGTATCCTGAGCGTGGTTCTGCAGCTCTTAAACACTGCAGTATTTTCACATATTTCCATCTCTGCGCTGGTTCTCGCCCTGACTCTGGTTTGATGGACGCTGACCTCAGTAACAGCTTCAGTGCAGACACACAATCGATTCTCCGCTTCACAGTTTTCTCACTGACAGAAGCTCGACACTTTTAATGAACACCATCTCACCAAAAATAAGGCCATTGTTTTGTATCCAGTACACTGAACACTTCTGTCTTCAGCCCTGCCGTACCAGTTGCAGTACAACCTCATTGGATTACATTTGCAAAGGTCCCCAGTGTGCAACAGATAAGTAGATCAATAAAACAAGGTTAAAAGTACAGTGATAAAACAAACTAAAAAAGTGCAGGAAACAATTGACACGACAAAAACAGTTTCAATAGAAGAACGAGATCATTCAAGTGCTCTTGGACAGTGGCCCTGCAGGCCCCGCTCAGACCACAGGATTATATGTAAGATTATCTGCTATCTAAATATTTCCAATGTGGTTTCCAAAGTCTGGAAAGCACTTTGTCACAGTCATGTCTGTTTTTTTAAATGTTCTATATAAATAAAATAAACTTGACCCTGTTAATGTAGTAGTTATGACTGAAGCTCATTTAAAATGGAAGGACTTCTATGGCTTTTGGCGTTTGTTTTGACTTTCCGTCTCATTGAGGACATCTAATAAGGAGTCTTCAGACCACAACCTGCTACCTTTGTCTCATTAGAAAACATTCTTTTGTGTAAGAAAGAGCCTTGTGAGTCACTATTTGACTCTTTGGGCTGAGAGCTGATTGGCTGAGTGAGGTTGGTCCTCTCTTTGTCACTTTTCTGTCTGAAAAAGATGATCGAAGGATGTGACAAAGGCCAAACAAACATCATGTGAAAACCCGCGACAGAAGCAAACTGTTTTAATTCCATGTCACTAGTTCCTGGTTTTGAAGTAGTTGATTGCCCTGAAACTGTCATTTTTAGATTAGTCCTTTTGACCCTGGGAGCAGAGGCTCATGGGAAAACTCGACTATAACAGCACAAAAAGCCGTGTGGGAGATTGTGGGAGATTGTGTAAGCTCATAATGTGTTAGCACATACTTCCTGTGGGGCTGGAGTTCCCCTTCCCACTCTCCTGCTGCCTCTGCGGGAACACACTTTTGGTGTCTAAAGCTGAGTCACTGCAGACGCAAGACGCTGGAAAAACTCAAACCTACAGCACATTTATTAAAAGTTTTTCAGCCAAGACTTTTATTTTATTGTCAAGAGTGCCTCGAATTTTTCTCCTCTTCATAAGTTTCCAGTGTTTTTTCCGCTGACAAAGATGCAGCTCTCATCTCTCTTGAACTTTCGATTCAAATATTGAATCGCGATTACATTAATGTCCTAGTTAACTCACGATTAATCGCAATAAATCACACATTTTCCACTGTTCTAAATGTCCCTTGATTTGGTTTGAAAAGGGATTGGACGAACAAAAAGTTTATATTAATCCAATCGCCTCCAAAAGGACAGTATTGTGACTGCGGCTTCTCATTCTCTGCTTTTGTTAGTGCTTTTTACAGTGTATAAAAGTGTTGAACATGGTAGAAATGACTTGAATTGTCTAAAAAAGGACATTCTCTTTCATTTATGTTTTCATTCAAGTCAGTTAGATCATGTTTACAGTGTATCGGTATCGGACTATCAACACAGTGGAAATAACTCTGTAACTGCTGTTTTCTCCTGCTGTACCTCACGTCCCCTAAACAGTGCCTTCTTTTGAAGCGGCCCTCATAGCGCACTCTCCCAATATTTGACCCGCATGTATTTCTGCGGCCGCGCTTTAGTGCTTGTATTAATTGCATAATAAAAAATGGATGCAGTTAAAATATGCTGTTAACAGTTATTAACACGTGTAATATACTCTTGGTTACTCCGGCACCCAGTCTCATATATGTTTATACATTTGTGATTTTGCATTTGTATGTGTGTGTATGAAATCTGATTGATTGAAGAAGGTTCAAAGTAAATGTGATTACACTGTACAATAGTGATCTTCATGGAAAACTGTTATGAGGCGATAGTAATGTGGATGTGAATGTTTTCAATGGCTTTACTTCTGCTTACTCCTCTTGAGCTCTATATAACCCTTTAGACTTTTCTCGACCAATGGTTCTATGTGTTTTTTCTTGTGTTTTAACTGTTGTGATTTAGAGCTATACTAAAATAAATTGAATTTAGCTTAAACTGTCTTTTTGATTGTATGAGCTGTATCTGTTGCTCCGAGCTCAAATGAACAATCTAAACTGATAATCTGTAAAATCCTGTGTTTCTCATTTCCCCATGTTCTAAAACAGAGCTGGAGTCGTTAGTAGCTTCATTCACACTAATAGCAAAGACATTATTGAATCCGAAACACAATTAGTAGAAGTTGGATCAGCCTGAGTCCAAAACTCTCTTCCTCACAGCAACTAGTGTTTTGTTGATTACATTTATTTTGTCTTCATTAAAGCATGTTTCGGTCTTCCTCAAGGTGAAAAGCAGACACACAATCCAAATTAAGATTCTAATGAAAGTGATAATTCTTAACTCGTTTCAGAATTATTTTTAAAAATGAACCACAGATAAGCTTTAAAAATGTTTTTTTACCATTAAGAATTATTTTCACTAGATTTTTTACTTTGTCATGTCAAATTTCTACATTTGAAATAATATTGGTATGATAAGTTTTAAGGGTGAAAACTGCCTGTAACTCTCTATATTGCCACCAGGGGGCCGCTGCAAACATACATGTGATTGGAAATTCTTTATGCAATACTTTTGTTTTAAAAGGCAGAAAACTGGTTTGACTGTGATGTCACGGTCTGTAAACACGGTCCAACTCTGGGCGGGAGGGTGGCGCAGTGGTCAGTACTTTTGGTTTTTGCTTCACAGCGAGAAGGTCCTGGGTTCAATTCCACCTGTATTTTGCATGTTCTCCCCATGTCTGGATAGGTATCCACCGGGCACTCCGGTTTCCCCGATCACTAAAGCATGCACAATAGGTCTGAATGCGAGTGATCTGTAATCCAAAACATTGTGAAGTCCTTTTTGTGAGACCTTGGTTTGTGAAATGTGCTATACATAAATACCAGACCTGACTTAGACCTTGTTTTCCAGACATGCCTCTCCACGTGCGCCGCAGCAGCGACCCCGCCCTGCTCTGTCTGAACGGTCCAATCACAGTCATTGAGTCGCGAAGCCAGAGCGAAGACCCACCCTCCAGGAAGAACCCGGCCCGATGGTCCACGACCGCAGGGTTCCTCAAGACCAGGACCTCGGGCGGCGGCAGCCTGGAGCGGAAGGTACTGGGACAGTGGGTCTAGAACCTGAGGAGGGTCTAGAACAGGGATGTCAAAATCAAATACTTCAGAAGTCTAAAAAAACAAATTCTGAATCAATGTTTATCAAAACATATTAAAATGATGCATATAATCTACTGAACCAAGACCTAACACAGTGGACCATACTTTGTTTAATGATTAAATTGATAATCCAATATTTTTGGCTTATTCAGGTTCACAGGAAAAAACAAACTTCCTTCAAAGAGAAAGTGCATATCCTGAACATGAAACTAATTATTCAATATGTTCTTATGGCCCTGTGTGGCCAGTTCTAATACTAACCAAATATCCCAGGGGCCAAGATAATTCCTTTTTGGGCTGGATTTGGCCCCCGAGCTTTGACTTTGACACCCGTGGTCTCGCTCTACCTTGGGAGGGTTCAGGATTGTGATTGTGATTCTCTGTTGGCATTCGGTTTTGTGACTTCTTGACTTTCTTTTGAAAGTCTGCAGTTTTCTCAACATCTGCACTGTGAATGACCATGAATATTCAGTATTTGGGCAGATTACATTAGCATAGCTGGTGTGCCCAGCTTCTCAGCCACCATCGCAGAAACAGAACTCATCTGAGAACCAGGAACTGTGGAGACAGATGAAGACGTACATTCTGTGTTTGAGAGGATCCTTGAATGTGAGGACTTAAAGCTAGAACAAAGAAAGTTTGGAGAGTTTTGTTCCAGGGAAAGATGTTATTGTCCTGCTTGTGATTGGTCAAAAAGGTACCCGCCCACTATGATTTCAGTCTTCAGGAAGTTAAATGAAACCTATTAGATCATATTTACTGACCAAACACTTAGTTCCCAACTGCCACAATACTTTTGCCTCTGACAGTCCCACACTGCAAATATTTATAAAATATGAGGTGATAATAGCTTCAATTTAGTGTTTTTTTCTCGTATTTTGAGTATATTCTGATTTGATACATTTTCCAATGAGACAATCCATTTTTATTCTTATTTCCAGAACTTTTGCTTTTTTTTCTCATTCCAAGGGAGACATTTCTTGAATCTTTTAGAAAAAAGATCATTTTGCTTTGTCCCACTGGCAAGTCTTGTTTTAACGCAGTCAAAATGTGCTCAAGTTTAGATACATTTTTCCAAATATGAGTAATTTTTGACTTATTTTCCTTCACTTTTTGTGCCCCTGTCCTATGTCCGCGAGGGTCGGCTGTCCTTGTGGTGCTTTGGTCCTGACCCAGTGTTGTGTTCCAGGCCAAAGCCGTGGACTCGTACCGCAGTCTTCCCCGTGACGCCGGCACATGGTCCAATCACAGAGAGTTCCAGAGGGAAACCGCCCGATCGTCTCTGAGCGCCAACCATCCCCTGGTCGACCGCTGGTTGGAGCGTCAGGAGCAGGTACTTCTATCCTAGTGCCGGGTTCTGTCTCCATCTGCTCCCCCAAAACACACCCTTGCTATTTACGAGACTTAAAATGCTCTTCCTAATACTTTAACTGATGACATTAGTTCAGAGATATTTTAATTTTTCTTGTTATTGTTTTCATTTCCATGATCCGCCCTCCACCGTTTCACCAATCAGAAAGTCTGATCCGAGGCTCACAGATAAAGTACAATGTGGCCGCAGATCTATAAAAGGTCTTTTTATGATTCTCAAATCTTTAACGGCAAAACAAAGAATAAAACCAGGATTTCTATCTTTGTGAAAAAGGTGTTGGTTATAGATTTGTTGTTGACAAAACTCTCGGCTCTCAGCTGGATTCGTCTGCATATCTGGCAACCTGAGTCAGGGAGAGCGGGAGAGGTTGCGTACCACATTTGGCCAGATTTTTACATTCTGCTCCTTTAAGTTACGTACCCTGGCTTTAACCACATTCTAAAACCTTAAATACCAAAGTAGATATTTTCAAAACCATGTAAAAAGAACAGAATTATATGTGTGGTAATATTGGGTTTGATGCTATTTCACCGAATATTTTATGAGCTGCCTTTGTATTCAGACTGTCTGTCTCCACACGCACACACACAGACACACACATGCTCAAACACACACATACACATACACACACACACCTCTGCTCCCCCCCTCTTGTCTCCACCTCTGTCACCGTTGGCAACAGGTCCGGTGTTTCCATGGCGACTGCTCCATCAGTCCAGTGCAGGAGTAATGACGGCTCAGGGCTCAGGGCTGATAACCGCGCTTGTACACGCACGCACGCACACACACACACACATGCACAAGCACACACGCACAAACATACACACACGCACACACTTTGTTTTCGGCTGCTGCTCCAGACTCTGTGGAATACACTGTTCCGGAATGTCACGGAAAAATTCTTGAGGAAAAAATGGAAAGATCTGAACCCGATTTCATTTCTTGGCACATCACAATTCCCCCAAAGCAAAACTGAATAATTAGTGCTGGGTTCAACATTAACATAGCTGGAAATCACAAAATAATCTTTCTGAAAAGCAGCTTCTCAGTAGGAGACAAACACTTTGGCAAAAACGTGTCCAACAATGTCTGATAAAGTTGATGTGATTTGGAATCAAAAGATCAAAGGAATCGTTTTAGTTCTAATAATGATTTGTACTACGATTCTCATGTTTATCTTGTGATTTGAATAATGACACTCATTACATCGCACAGACAGCGAGAGCCACGCGCCTCTCAGCGGCTGAGTAGGCTCTCACCTCGCGGCGTGCATACACACTCCAGGAGCGCACACTGCCTCCTCTGTGAAGTCTATGAAGAAGTATTTAGGACAGAAAAGCTCAGAGGACGGCTATAGAGAAGTAAAACTCAGATGTATGTGTTTGTCTTCATGGTCTGTGGCCAGTTTGGTCCAGAGGAAAGACTTCATGTAACAAAAGAACAGGTCAGAATTGGAGTCAAACTTGCGCACCTTTAATTCAAGTGTTCTGTGAGGAGCTAGTGTAAAAAACGCCCTGCACCTCTCTGTGTGCGGTTTGCTAACTCTACAACGGGCGCTTTTCCAAAATCAGCCGCACGCCCCCTACACAAGCCGCTGCATGGACCTTTGCTTGACCTTTCCAAGGGCTTTGATGCTGCAGAGTGTCCAGCGTCTCGCTTCTGTCATCACTAGTGTGGAGAGAATGGAAAGAACATCGGTACTCCAAATGATAAAGGCTTGTGCGGTGTGTAGGAGTCATTTTAGTAAAATCCATCTGATTGTATTATTGAACACATTTTGTAACAAATTTTTTTATTATTACATACATTTCTAAAATAAGCATGACTTTCCCCTGCGCTCTTAAAGACCTTATGACGGGTTTGATTTATTTAGAAATACAGTTTTAATACCATTTTATATTAGAAGAGAACTACTAAAGGTTTCAAAATCAGTTGTTGTTTTTTTTGTCTGATCCCCCCAAATCGAAATAACCCCATAGCAACGCCCTTAGAAACGAAAAAACTTCACAGCCCTTGGTGACGTCAGAACGGGTACGTTTCAACGCTGTAAGTTGTTTACAATTTGGTATTCGTTCTTTTTTCGCGGATATTCAAGATAACAAGGCCGTGTACAGCGAGTCTAAGATAACTACTAGAATGTAACATTTCGTCGTCACTGAGATAGTCCAGTGGTTGTGTCGATGGACTGCCAATCCAGATACTTGGGTTCAAATCCCACCTCGGACACTTTTTCACACTCAAAACGGCAATTTATGTGTAGTGAGCAATTGTCACCTGTAGAGGGCAGTATTGTGTTGGGCATCAGTGGAGAGAAGAGAGAAAAGGCAGTCCTGTGGCATAGATCCATGGTTTTCAATGCATGGGCGTAACCCGCTATGACGTCACACACAGGTTAGAGCATAGACAACTTAAATTCATGAAAAACACGTTCTTTTTATAAAATATAGGATTTTTTTTGCCGGAATCTCTTTCAAATTGACATTGTCATGCAATTTTGATATCCACTATTTTTTTTAAAAACCCGTCATAAGGTCTTTAAAGGCATTTGCTGGCCTTGTCTCAGGATCCGGTTTCCGTGGTTACATTCAGCATAAAAGCAGTTTGACATGCTTCAATCCAGTTACGACAAATGGACTGATTTTACACATCACAAGTTTACATGTAATCATTTTTGACTTGTGCCTGTTCTTGTCTAAGTTTAGTCCAATTGTTAATGCGGATGAAAATCTTAAAATACAGAAAAAATCTGTTTGTTGAAAGGCAACCAATTGCTAACTGCTTTCAAGTAAGTAAGTGTGTTGCTATGGTAACTAGCTTTCTCCAAGCTGAGATTGCTCTGAACAAGTCTTGGACCAGTCTCAGACCAGACCAAGAACAGCCCAGGAACAGCCCAGGACCAGCCCAGGACCAGCATCGCCAGAAAAGTGGCTTTAACTGCCATAGAATGTTGGTGGGACCGAAAATGGCAACATTGAAATGACTTGTTTGCAACAGTGGCTCAGTTGGTAGAGCATTGGCCTTTGAGCCTGAGGGTCCACCCACCCATCGAGACCTTCTCCTCTGACTCCCACTGATGTCTGCTGTCGTTGTGTATTTGGGCTAGACACTTAACCCTACTTTACCTGAAGCCCCTGCTGAACGATCAAGGCTGTGCTTCACTGACAGAGCATCCTCCTGTAGACCCACCACCTGCAGGAGGATCAGTGAGGGGCTGGTGCTCTGACTGCCACCCCCCGACACAGAAATGGATTAATAGGAGGAGAATGGATGGATGGAATTAATGGAACAGTCTACCAGGTTACTAATGTTAATAAACTACATTGAGATACAGAAAACGTTATGAAGAGAAAAAATATACAGATACTGAGAGATTTTGCTTCCAAAATAAATAACCAAATGACTATTTTGAGTTGAGGAAAAGGCTATACATACATCTTTCTTCAAGGTCTGATCCACATCTCATGGATTGCGGAGTCTTCTATATCATTAAATTGAACCAAAGGAGAGAGATCCTTTTGTCGGGCTGTGGTGAGAACACGCAGAGAGAACACGCGTGCTTTAAGTGGTTGCCTTGATTCATGCGGTGTTTAAATTAGAATTCAGCTCGTGTCCTGATTTCCCCGCGGATCTCAGGAATGCGTTCACCTGTCGTGTTTAGTTTGACGGAGGAGTACGGGAAGAGGAGCGAGAGGAGCGGGCGAGGAGCCGGAGAGAGCGCAGGGCGGATGTAAATGAAGCAATTACAGCAGCGTGCACACGTACAGGTCAGGGCTTCACTGCAGGATCCGGGATTATAAAATGGAGTTACACACATCCATTTATTCTGCAGGTAAATGAGGTTTGAATGTTTAAGGGCAACATGATTAAAAGATGAAAATAAAAAAAAGACTATGAATATGGACTAAAACATCTAAACACAAGCTCTAAATATGTGCCTGAAAACAAACTATATAAACTGGGACTTCACTCTGTCTTCCACGCCCTATCACTGCTCCTCATCAGTCACAGACCTGCAGCAGTGTCTAGCTCCATCCACACTAATATCAGTAACTTCCCCCCGCCCCTTCTGTTTAAACCAGGGGTGTCAAACCTGTTCTCAAGGGGCCGGCGTGGCTGCAGGTTTTAATTCTAACCAACAGGACCAGGTTGTACCACACCATTGTACACATTTTGTTTCATACTAAGGTCTGGATTTGCTTCATTAACTCCTTTTGCAGATTGAATCGATTGGATCTGAGCTTACCGTGACGTAGGTAAAGTGCCCGAGTGAGTCGCTAGCTTTAGCATTTAGCCTAGCTTTAGCCATCTCCTTTGCCACTAACGGAGACTGTGGGGAGTAGAGCCACAACATCTTTGCAGCAATGACATTTAACTCATTCACTGCCCATGACGACAAAACTCGTCATGTTGAATAGTAACGCTCACTGCCCATGACGAGTTTGACGAGTTTTTCATGTTATTACACGGGAGGCTGCAGTAATGTCTGGCGCACCTTGTGAATGACCCACAATACTGATATATAGTGCAAATGTACCTGTAATGATAAATCAACACCAGTAGGATGCAGTATTGCGCCACAGGAGAGGTCATAAGTCAGTGGAGAGAAGGAGGAGGAGTGTGGGAGTGTGAGAGAGCGTGCTGCTGTAGCAGAGCGAGCGATGATAGCGTAGCATTGAGACAGATCAGCGATCTAGTTTAGCGATAGTATAGCAAGAGTGATGGCAAAACAGAATAGTTATAAGCAGCTGACACTGCTTCAGAGATTGACTCGCGGATCAGTGAGTGAGGTCGAGAGGGGAGAGAGTGGAGACCCCGGTGGAGGTCCGTCTCTGCAGCTACATTTGCGCGGAGCAAGCGCCCCGAGCAGAGACACACCCTCCGCCTCTCTCAGCGTATCAGCTGCTGTTGTTAGTGATGCCTCGGATTCGTTCAGCAAACCTGATCATGATTTATCGGACACA